GCAGCACCGGCTGTGGCGGCCATTTGGGCTGTGAACCAATGGAAGGAAGACCTTTCTCTCTGTCTCTCTCACTGTCTGTAACTCTGTCAAATAAATTGGGGAAAAAATTATAAAAAAAATGATAGGTAACATCTAGCAGGTAACACTCAGTGGTGAAGACTGAACACTTGTGCTCTAAGATCAAGAAAAAGAGAAGGATGCCTACTCTTACAGCTTCTATTCAACAAACTATTGGAAGCTTTAGCTAGAGCAATTAGGTAAGAAAAACAAAGGCAACTGACTAGGAAGGAAAGAATGAAATTGTCCCTGCTGATGACATGAAAGCCCCAGGACCTCACCAAAAACTGTTGGTACTAATAATTCAGCAAAGTTGCAAAATCCAAAGATCAACATGTGAAACTCAGGAGCACTTTCTAACTTACAGTGAACTACCTGAAAAGTAAAATTAAGAAAACAATCCCATGGGGTGGGCAATGCAGCTGAGCAGTTTAAGTCACCACCTGAGACATTCCCATCCATCCCTTTTTGGTCTGGCTACTCTGTTTCTGACCTAGCTCCTTGCGAAGTTGCTGAAGGCAGTGGATGATGGCATAACTACTTGGGTTACTGCTACTCACAGGGGAGAAATCCAGGTGGAGTTCCTAGCACCTGGCTTCAGCCTGGCCCAACTCTGGCTTTTGCAGGTACCGGGGAGAGACAAAGCAGATGAAAGATAGATTTCTCTCTCCCTCTGTCATTGTCTTTCAAATAAATAAATCTTTTTTAAAAGAAAACAATTTCATTTGCCATATCATGAAAAATACTTAATAACATAATGAAAGAAGGATACTGAAAACTATAAAACACTGATAAAATTAGAGATGATACAAATAAATGTAAGGATTGTTTATATTCATAGACTAAAAGAGCATTAAATGTCTATACAACCCAAGTGATTTGATCTACAGATTCAAACAAATCCCTATGAAAACCAAATGCCATTTTTCACAGAAATAGAAAAAAAATCCAAAATTTTAATGGAAACTGCAGAAGACTTTGAATAGCTAAGAAACAATGAACACATGGAACAAAATGGGAGACTTCCCACTAACTGATACCAAAATATATTACAAAGCTACAGTACTCATAATAGCATGGTACTGGCACAAAACGGACTGTCTGAGGGGGAGATTTAACCTGGCACTTACGATGCCAATTGTGATGCCTTTGTGTTGAATGGGAGTGCCTGGATTCCAGTGCTGGTCCCCTTTCCCAACTGTAGCTTCCTGATGGCTCCAGCAGTTGGGAAACCCAGAATGACTTCCTCATTCCTGGATTAACGCCAGCTGTTGCCAGTATTTGGCAAGTGAGCTAGTGGATGGGAGATTAATTCTCCTTCATTCTCTCTACACACACACACACACTTTCTCTCTCTCTGAAACTAAATAAAAATGTTAAAAATAAAATACCAGTCACAGTGACAAATGATATAGGACAGAGAGCCCAGAAATAAGCCTCATATCCATGGTCAATTAATTTTCAACAAAGTTGCCAGGAGCACACAACACAGAAAAGGACAGTCTGTTTAATAAATGATGTTGGCAAAGCTGTCTATCCACATACAGAGGAATGAAATGTAACCCTTATTTCAACCCCCGATAAAAATCAACACAAATTGGACTGAAGCAGTAACTGTAACAGCAGGAACTGAAACTACTGGCAGAGAACATGGGGCAGCTCCATGATGTTGGTCTCTGCAGTAATTTCTCGGGTAGGCCTCCAAAAACACATGCAACAGAAGCAAACACAGAAAAATGGGATGGTATCAAACTAACATGGCTCTGCACAGATAAGGAAACAATTAGGAGCAAAGAACCAAGTCAAAATTGAGGAAATGTTTCTAAATCATCCAGATAATGGGAAAATACCAAAATATAAGTAAATCAAGTACCTAATAAAATCACCCCATGTACAAATGGGCAAAGGACTTGAATAGAATAGCTATTTCTCAAAATAATAATGTTAAAGGTCATTAGATACAGGGAAAATGCTTACCATCACTAATCAATCATTAGGAAAATGAAAATTAAAACCACGAACCTTCATTCTTGAACTGTAAGAAGATATAACGAAGAAAGAGAACTATAGACAAACATCCCTAATGAACATAGATTTAGGAATCCTCAACAAAATACTAGCTCATCAAATCCAACACCACACCAGAAAGATCTTTCACTGAGACCAAGTGGGATTTATGGTATGCAGGCATGGTTCAACTATATAAGGAAATCAGTAAATGTGATAGATTACATTAACAATTGGAAGAATCAAAACCATATGATTATTTCAGGGCCGGCGCTGTGGCTCACTTGGTTAATCCTCCACCTGTGGCGCCAGCATGCCATCTGGGTGCCGGGTTTTAGTCCCGGCTGCTCCTCTTCCAGCCCAGCTCTCTGCTATGGCCTGGGAAGGCAGTGGAGAATGGCCCAAGTGCTTGGGCCCCTGCACCCACATGGGAGACCAGGAGGAAGCACCTGACTCCTGGCTCCTGGCTTCAGCTCAGCACAGCACCGGCTGTAGTGGCCATTTGGGGAGTGAACCAATGAAAGGAAGAACTTTGTCTCTGTCTCTCTAGCTCTGTCAAAATTAAAAAAAAAGCATCTGATTATTTCAATAGATACAGAGAAGTCATTTGTTAAAATACAGCATCCTTTCATAATAATAAAATCCATAAGCAAATTGGGTATAGAAGGAATATTCTTCAACACAATAAGGCCATTTATGACAAATGCACAGCCAGCATCATATTGAATGGGGAAAAGTTTGAAGCATTTCTATTCAAACTGTAACCAAACAAGGATGCTCATTTTCACCACTGTTACACAAATTGCCCTGGAAGTTTTAGCCAGAGCCATTAGGCCAAAAAGAAGGGAAAAGAGAGAGAGATACAGAGAGAGTGAGAGAGAGAGAGAGAGATACAGATAAAAAAAAAGTCAAATTATCCCTTTTTGCGGATGTTCCCCTCTATACATGGGGGAACAAAAAAACTCCACTAAGACAATTGGAACTCATGAGACAGTTTGGTAAAGTTGCAGGATGTAAAACTGACACACAGAAGTCAATAGCACTTGTGTACACAAAGAATGCATGGCTGAGAAAGAACATTTAATATCAGTTTTATTCACAATAACTACAAAAAATTAAATGTTTTGAAATAAATTTAACCAAGGAGGTGAAAGGTCTTGGCAATGAAAATTACAGAAAATTTTTTAAAGAAATAGAAGACCACACAGAAAAAAATAGAAAATACTTCCTTGTTTGTGGATCGGAAGAATTATTATCATCAAAATGTACATACTAAACAAAATAAGGTTTACTTTATACAAAGGTCCAATCAAAATTGATCAGTGATGTAAAACTGTTACTGATATCATCAAATTACTAGAGGAAAACCTTGGGGAAACTGTGCAAGACATTGCTATAAGCGAAGACTTCTTGGAAATGACACCAGAAGCACAGGCAATCAAGGTAAAGAGAGACAATGAGGAGGACATCCAGTCTTTGCACTGCAAAAGAAAACACTCAGCAAAATGAAGAGACAACTGACAGAATAGGAGAAAATATTTGCAAGCTCTGCAATTCATAAAGGATTAATATCCAGGATCTATAAAGAGCAGAAAACTCAACAAATCAAGCAATCCAGTTAAGGAGGGGGCAACGAACATAACAGGCACTTTTCAAAGGATAGAATACAAGTGGTCAACAGACACAGGAAGAAATGTATAAGGGAAATGCAAATCAAAACCAGAACGAAGTTTCACCTCACCCCAGTGTGAATGACTGCTATCCAACAAACAAACAAACAAACAAACAAAAAACAGTAAATGCTGGTGAGGATGTGAGGCAAAAGGTACACTAATACATTGTTGGTGGGAAGTAAACTATTATCAACATTGTGGAAGACAGTATGGATATTCATCTGAAATATGAAAGTAGATTTACCATATAATCCAGCCATCCTACTCCTGGGAATTTACCCAAAGAAATAAAATCATCATATGAAAAATTATCTGTACCGCTTGTTTATTGCAACTCACTACACAATAGCTAAGATATGGAATCAACCCAGATGTTCACCAGCTGATGACTGAATAAGGAAAATGTGGCATATATACACCATGGAATAATACTCAGCTATAAAAAGAATAAAATCCTGTCCTTTGCAACAAAATGGATGCAACTGGAAACATTATGCTTAGTGAAATAAGCCAGTTTCCAAAAGACAAGTGGCATGTATTTCCCCATATTTGCTAGCTAATACAGCATACAAGAATATACATATATGAATGAAATGGACATCTTGTGATATTTTTAGCCCTTGTATATATATACATACACACACACACACACACACACACTCCTGTGGAAATGTGTTCTTCCTACTTTTTGAAAATTATGCTTAGTGGTGATTTAAGCCTGTGATTATAGAATGGATTGAAATTTTGCTTTGCAAATATTAAAGGGAAAGAAGGAAGGCAGGGAAGGGAAGGGAAGGAAAGGAAGGAAGGGGATTGAAAGATCAGGAGAAGGAGGGACAGAGTGAAGTTTGGTTATCTTCTTAGTACTGTACCTATGAAGGCCAGCATTGTGGCACAATAGTCAAGCCACTTCCTCAAATGCCAGCATCCCATATGGGCACCAGTTTGAGTCTTGGCTGCTCCCTTCTAGTGCGCCTGGAAAAGCAGCAGAGGAAGGCCCAAGACCTTGGGTCCCTGCACCCACATGGGAGACCCAGCTGAAGCTAATGATTTCACCCTGGCCCAGCCCTGTCTGTTGTAGCCTCTTGGGGAGTGAACCAGCAGACAGAAAATTGATCTCTCTCTACCTTTCAAATAAGTAAGTCTTTAAAAAAACACTGTACCTATGAAAATTCTGTCCTTTGTGACAATATGGATAAATCTATAGGACATTAAGGTGAGATAAGCCAGGTCCAGAAAAAATACTGTATGATTACACTTATATACAGATATGGATCCACTTGTATTTCAGTCACACTTTTAAATGGAAAAAGTTGAACACATAGAAACATAGACTGACAGCTGCTTAAGCCCAAGGGGCAGAGGGTGGTAGATGAGAGAAGAGGTCACAGTTCTAGTCAGGGGGAATAAGTTCTGGTTATCTATTATTAACACTAGTCACTGGGCTGTGCAATAAGGTACTGCAGATTTCAAAAATGTGCTACCAGAGTGCATTTTAGATTGTTACTACAAAGATAAGTATATGAGGTGATATGTTAAGTGGCCTACTTTTATCATTCCATAATATATACAGGGATCAACATGAAGTAGGCAAGCATATAAGTTAAAATTGATTAGGTCTGTGAGCTGGAAGACCATGTCTTCGCCTCACCCCTGTGTGACCTCATGCCCCTGATACCTTCACCACACCCCCTCTGTGACCTCATCCCCCGTCCTGGCCACACCTGGGTGACAACCAGCCAATCAAGTTAATTAACCACTCCCCCTTTAGAAGTGGGTTAAAAGCCTAGGACATGATGTGTCCGGCTCTTCTCTTTTGCCTGGGCTCTTCCCAGGAGGCGGGCTTGCCATAGCCTGAAGGCCACGTGCCCTAGGCTTTCTGGCCTAGATACTCCTCCATGCGGCTGGTTCCTGGTGCTCGGTATGAACCCATATTTACCTCTCTCGCACACTCTGCCTCTGCTTTGCTGCCGGTGATAAGTGGTGGATAGCAGCTCCAGGTGCTGACTGCACATGGCTTTGGCCTGCTCTCTGAGTGGTATGGACGCTACCCTAGTTTCCAGACCTTTTTCTCTCCAACCTGAACTAAACCCTCACTTTCCTAGATACCTCTCGCACTAACTGGCACAGTTTTATCTATGGTGTGATCGACACCCTGATTTACGTCCTAGGCCCTGGCCCAGCAAACTATCTTAGAAATTAAGTATTTCACATATTGTTAAGTTCTGAGACATTGTAACATGATTTTCAAAGTAATTATTTATATATATAATTTATATATATATATAAAAGAAAGCAATAGGGCTTGCTTTTATATATATATTCTTTTATATATATATTATATAATGTATATAATATATATTTACAACCAGCATCAAATACACCAGTTGTAGAGTAATGAAAATTGCAATGCTTTGGTTAATGGTACATAAGAATCAATCCTTAAAATGAAAAACGGATATGCAAAAATATTGCAATAAAAATCCAAAGTAGATGGTGATTTGGTTTTGTGAAATCCTACCAACAGATCATATGTTTATCATTGATGACAGTTCACATAGTGTTTGGGTCAGGCTTTTAAAAACTGTCAAGAAAATACCTGAAAGATTTTTATGACGCCAATGAAAACCTCTTAAAGTATCAAGACCAATTCCAGTTACCACTCTAATATATTTTCTCACCAAAACCATTTGCCTCTTATTCCTGTGATAAGAATTTCTAAAATTTTACAACTCGTTATACCTCCTAAGAGCTGTTTATATTATATTGGGATATTTTTCCTAGAAAGATTTATCTATTGAATGTCAGAGTTACAGAGACACAGGGAGAGATCTTCTATCTACTGGTTCACTCCCCAAATGACCCAATGGCCAGGCTGAAGCCAGGAGGCTGAACCTCTTTCTGGGTCTCTCACATAGGCGTCAGGTGCCCAGGCACTTAGGCAATCTTCCAGTGCTTTACCAGGCATGCAAGTACCGGTTTGGGTGGGGAGCAGCTGAGACTTGAACTGCCGCTCATGTGGGATGCCAGCATTGCACCCTACAGCTTAACCTGCTGCTCCATATTTTGGCTCTCAACACATGACAAAAACCAACCTGATCAGGAGAGCTCATTCTCCATCTTAGACTGAGGGTATCCTTGAAAAGGGTACCTGCTTCTCAGTTAAATTTAAAAGCACAGTTCACACAAATCGTTCTCAGTCTTCAAAGAACTCAGTTTTCGTCCTAAGCCCTGAAATTGGTTAAGCAATGTCCTCATTTACCATTGTAGGTACTGAGTTATATACGCATGAGAGCTGTGACAATTCCTTTATATATATACACACGCACACATATAGAGTCATTCCTGTCACAGTGTATTAAGGGGCTATGGCTATGAGATGGAAGCTATGCTAGCTTCACACAGTAACTGCCACTGGACTCCAATAAATGGTTGACAGCCTCCCCAGGACCAGTGTTCTTTCTTCCAAAAACTGCATAGATTTCTGTCCTAATAAACTGCATTTCCTTTGCTCTCTGTACATGCGTGAGTGAGGTCATCTCCTCTTGTGCAGCTGTGTCCCTGACTGCAATCCTATTCTTTATTTACAAATCAAATCTATTTTAGTGGAGATCTGTATATACACGTAGGACTTTGATACAGGTTAGGTTTTATTCCCCAGATGTTTCTATTGTATAAAGAATTCGGGAGGGACCTGTGACTTTCAGGGAAATTTTTCAAAATCATGGAAGCATCTGTGTTCTCCACCCTCTATCTTGCTTATTCTCATGGGATGATCAGGCCTTTACCAGGTCTCCGAGGACTTTCAAAAACCAGCCACAACTGTTCATATTTGGGGGAAAATATTCATTTAAAATACATGTTTAGCTCCTGGCTTCGGATCGGCGCAGCGTCAGCAGTAGTGGCCATTTGGGGAGTGAACCAATGGGAGCAAGACTTTTCTCTGTTTATAATTCTGTCAAATTAAAAAAAAAAATACATGTTCAAACCTGAGTCACTATAAAAATTAAATTATGAGAATTTTTATGTTAGAATACTTCCTCTCAGATAATGAAAGAGCAACTTGATATGTTATCCCTCTTAGTATTTTTTTTGTTCTACTTAATACTTTTGGTTGAATAATGTAATCAATACACAATTCTTAAGTGCTGAAACTTAACTGAAAAGTGATCACTGTTAAATATAAGAGTGGGAAAGAGGGAAGAGATGTGCAATTCGGGACATGCTCAAGCTGACTTGTCCCAAACGGTAGAGTTAGAAACATACCAGGGGATTCCAATTCAATCCCATCAAGGTGGCATGTACCAATGCCATCTCACTAGTCCCAGTGATCAATTTCTGTTCACAATTATCATAATGATAGGACTAAGAACCAAAGGGATCACATAAACAAGAATAGTGTCTGCAAATACTAGCTGATAGAATAAAAAAGGGAGAGAATGATCCAACATGGGAAGTGAGATACACAGCAGACCCATAGAATGGCAGATGTCCTAAACAGCACTCTGGCCTCATAATCAGCCCTTAAGGCATGTGGATCCGGCTGAAAAGCCCATGAGAGTATTTCAGGCATGGAAAGCCAAGACACTCTGGCGGGAAAAAAAAAAAAAAAAACCTAAATGAAAGATCTCTGTGAGTGAGATCCCAGTGGAAAGAACGGGTCATCAAAGAAGGAGGTACCTTTCTCTGAAGGGAGGAGTGAACTTCCACTTTGACCATGGCCTTGTCTAAAATTATCAGAGTCAATGAACTCAGGGGGCTTCCATAGCCTTGGCAGCTCATGACAAGAGCCTAGGGTGATTACTGAGGCCATAAACAAGAGTGTCAATTTGTTAAGTCAACAACAGGAGTCACTGTGCACTTACTCCTCATGTAGGATCTTTGTCCTTAGTGTGCTGTACTACATTGAGATTTAATGCTATAACTAGTACTCAAACAGTATTTTTCACTTTATGTTTCTGTGTGGGAGCAAACTGTTGAAATCCTTACTTAATGTATGCTAAACTGATCTTCTGTATATAAAGAGAATCGAAAATGAATCTTGATGTGAATGGAAGGGGAGAGGGAGTGTGAAAGGGGAGGGTTGCGTGTGGGAGGGACGTTATGGGGGGGAAGCCATTGTAATCCATATTCTGTACTTTGGAAATTTATATTCATTAAATAAAAGTTAAAAAAAAAAGAAAGAACACTTGTAAACTCTCACCCCAGAGGTGAATTTCAAAGCTGGTTCCAAGAAAACAGAAAAGCCAAAGGATATCAGGTCTTTATCCAGACAGCCTCTTATGGAAGTGCGGTAAACAGTGGAAATTACTATCAGGTGAAAGGTGTACTTCTCTCAGAATCCAGTTGTTTAATCACTCTCCTATTTCAAACACGGTGCCAGGAATGCTGTCAGGAAACGGGCATCGTGGTGGTGGTGGTGATGTTGCTGAATGATACTAACATCGCCATCATTTTAGAGTAGAGGCAAGTTGGAAAGCCACTCTTAGTAACAAGAGGGAAGAGCTTTGCAAGTTACTTGTTGGTATTTCTACAGTTCAACCATTTTGGGATACAAGAAGTATCTCCCTGGCAGGTGTTAGATTATTAGGAAAATTAAGCAGATGGCATTGGCAAACTACACCTCCCTTTCCTCAGCTGCCAGGAATTCCTATCCCCAGGCTTAGCTTCACATATGCTTGCTTCAAATGCTCTTGCCACGTCAAAGAAACAGAACCAGTGTCATCAGTCAAGCATGCACAGAGCTATGAACAAGTAGCGTCTTCCACATTTTCCCAGTGTTAGGCAAAACCCTTTGTTTTCTATGTGTCACTCATAACCAACCACGACAGATTCCACTGAGGCAGCTCATGTCACTGGCTCAGACGAGGAAAGGGAGTATATCTCAGGGGTTGTTTGCAGTGTGCAGCCTACTGTAAAATGAATCTGATAGTCTATGTCATGAACAGCAGCAGCAAAACCTCAGGTCTCTGCACAATAACAAAAAAAATGACATACCCAAGAATAATGTTCTATGATGTCTAAGCCCAGCTACCTTCAGTGACATTACATTTTTCAAATTTTAACTTCATTTGATGGATCAGTCTTAAGAGACAAATAGGTCACAAATAGGTCAGAAAATCTCATATAAACACATAATTAAGACTATTCATAAAATGAAGCTATGAAATGTTATAAATTAAAAACCTTCTGAACATTCAAAATATCCTGACAAATGTCTGGGTCTGTATGTGTCAATGATGTATTTGTATGTATGTAATATGTGTGTATATGCATATAATTAAAATACAATTAATAGGCTGGTGCCGCAGCTCAATAGGCCAATCTTCTGCCTGCGGCACCGGCACACCAAGTTCTAGTCCTGGTCGGGGCAGTGGATTCTGTCCTGGTTGCTCCTCTTCCAGTCCAGCTCTCTGCTGTGGCCCGGGGGTGCAGTAGAGGATGGCCCAAGTGCTTGGGCCCTGCACTCGCATGGGAGACCAGGAGAAGCACCTGGCTCCTGGCTTCGGATCAGCACTGTGCGCCAGCCACAGCATGCTGGCCACGGTGGCCATTGGTGGGTGAACCAACAGAAGAGGAAGACCTTTCTCTTACTGTCCATTCTGCCTGTCAAAAAAAATACAATCAATTTTAAATCTATTATCAGCAAAAAATGTATTCAGCTCAGATCTATTGAATATTTATCATGAGCCTAGCACTGTGATATGCACTGGGGCTGCAATAAGGAACAAGACAATTCTTGTTCTCAGTGAGATTGAAAATTACAAAGAAGATCACAATGAAAGATGCTATTTTTGTGAATATTCATCACCTCCAGAAGAGGTCCTCGTGAAATGTCTTGTGATACCTCAGGAATGGTAGTTTTCTAACCAATGCAAATGCATGATAGAACTCCTGGAAGAAATCCAAACTTGAAGAGAATCAAGGTATATAAATTTGAGGATCTGAAGTTAAGCATGGGTGAGATATCATGAGTGGAAACAAAACCAGAGATGTGACTAAAGCCATCTGTGAGGCTCCGATCATAAAGAGTTGGAAAATTTCTTAAGGAGCCCATCGGCAAGTCACCACGTATTTGAAAGCAGGATACTGGCCCAGTTTGATTTCCATTGGAAAAGCAGCACTTTAGTCCTTACGTGGAGAAGCAACTGGAATGGGGAAGCCAGGGAGGAAGTTGAAATTCTCAAAGCCAAAAAGTGATGAATTAAAAACAAGGTAATACATCAAGGTGGCATGTACCAATGCCATCTATAGTCAAAGTGATCAGTTTGAGTTCATAATTGATCATAATGATAGGCTTAAGTGTCAAATGGATCACATAAACAAGACTAGTGTCTGCAAATACTAGCTGATAGAATTAAAAAGGAGAGAACAATCCAACATGGGAAGCAGGATACACAGCAGACTCATAGAATGGCAGATGTCCTAAACAGCACTCTGGCCTTGGAAATCAGCCCTTAAGGCATTCGGATCTGGCTGAAGAGCCCATGAGTGTATTTCAGGCATGGAAAGCCTGTCGCAAAAACAACAACAAAAAAAAAACAAAACCAAAAACAAAACAAAAAAACACACCTAAATGAAAGATCTGTGAGTGAGATCCCAGCAGAAAGAATGGGCCATCAAAGGAGGAGGCACCTTTCTCTGAAGGGAGGAGAGAACTTCCACTTTGACTATGACCTTGTCTAAATAAGATCAGAGTTGGTAAACTCAGGAGGCTTCCATAGCCTTGGCAGCTCATGACAAGAGCCTCGGGTGATTACTGATGCCATAAACAAGAGTGTCAATTGTTAACAACAGGAGTCACTGTATACTTACTCCCCATGTAGGATCTCTGTCCTTAATGTGTTGTACTATGTAAATTAACGGTAATACTACTACTCAAACAGCACTTTATACTTTGTGTATCTGTGGGTGCAAACTGTTGAAATCTTTACTTAGTATATACTAAGTTGATCTTTTGTATATAAAGATAATTGAACATGAATCTTGGAGAATGGTATGGGAGAGGGAGTGGGAGATGGGATGGTTGCGGGTGGGAGGGAGGTTACAGGGGGAAAAGCCACTATAATCCAAAAGTTGTACTTTCAAAATTTATATTTATTAAATAAAAGTTAAAAAAAAACCAAGGTAATAGAAGTAGGAATGGAGAGAATAGAAACTTTCACCTTGGTGGAGGAGGATTACAAACTTCTTCCAATTGAGTATTTCGTGAGAGGTACCTGCTCAATTACTGTTCAACTTGTGTGCCTTCTTATTGCCCCATTTGCTGGTATGAGGAGACCCTAGAACATATATGGAATTAAAGGTAAGTTTATTTTAGTGCCCCAAAAATGTTGCAATACATACTTTATTTTTATAATATGCATTTTCCAGGAAAAGTTTGAAGACTCTTTATAGAACTGCCTATTTGGCGATTTTAAATGCAGCTGAAGTCCGAGATAACATATAAGCAGGATTACAAGCCCTTTCTTAGACTATCCTGTATAGTTAACAACATGCATTCATTGTTAGCCTTAACATATGTCATTATGTGTAATGGTAAATTGCAATGCTATCATTTACGTGCAAGAACACTGAGTTGCTTTTATAATATTTTCATTTATATGCACAGGTCTATCCACTTGAATGCCTGACAGAGAATTAATTGTAAACCGGATTAGCAATCATCTACTCTGCTTCCTGTTTGGAAGACAACAGGATGACAATAGTCCATTATTTTGAGCAATACTATTCCATTATTGGCTAGCTCTGTTAGAATTGTTTGCTTTAACATCAGGCCTAATTTTCTCCCAATAATTTTCACATCATTGCTCATGCTGAGTACAAAACCATTCCCTGCCTTATCTTACACATTCGGGAAAATTTTTTAAACTTGAAAAATGAAGAAAGCTCATTTAAGTTCTGCCTTTCACATTTAAGAAGATGCACTACTGTCTCCTTACAAAGCTGTGAGTCTACTAATTATGTTTATTTATCTTCATGATAAAACAGGTGCATGCTCTCCTACCATCCTAGTTTACAAAGCTTCAAGTCACAGATGATGTTCTTTCCTATCAACTATGTGGCAGCCTTTGCCACCTCCTCTCATTTCCAGTGTGAAAACTCATCTATTAAGAAAGTACACACTGCACTGTTTTGAAGATACTTGATTTCCATTCTAGAATACATGAAGGTAAAGATGAGCCGAGTCGTGTGCTTCATAGGATGTCTATTTGCCATCCACAATATATAATTCAGTAAATAAGAGGTGACAAGCATTGTGACACAGCAGTCTGAGCTGCCCCTTGGGATGCCTCTATTCCACATCTGAGTGCATGGATTGAGTTCTACCTCCACTTCTAATCCACCTTCTTGTTAATGCACCCGAGAGACCGTGGATGGTGTCCAAGGTAACTGGATTCCTGCCATGGCTGTGGGAGACCCAGACGGAGCTCCTGGCTTCTGGTTTCTGCTTGGCCCAGCCCAGATGTTGTATAGGTTTGGGGAGTGCTCCAGAGAATGGAAGAGCACAAACCCCCTACCACATTATTCTGCTTTTCAAATAAAAACTGAACCGTTATTTTCCTTCTATTCAACCTCTACAACACACACACCCTAAGTATTTTCAAAAGGAGTGATTAATTTAATATTTATTAAATACCTAATACAAACCAAACAGTGTTCTATAATTTAGCACTGAATGAGGTAGAAATATATCTAATTCTCACATTCCCATGGGAGAAACAGGTAACATCCAAACAACAAAACAAAAATATATAGTGGTGCACACCATGCTGAAAATTAAAGGGCAATATTCCCGAGTGGCCAATTTAGAGTAGAGAATGGAGATATCTCTGAAGAGATAATATTATGTTGCAACTCAAGCAATGACCAGCTTAATTCACACCTGCAAAGACTGGAGAAAACCCACACAGCTGTGGTGAGAAGTCTCATGAAATTCATGATCAACAATCTCCGATGACTCAACTCTACTGGCAATAATACATTTTTCTAGTCTATTTCATACCTAACATTTTTTTCTTACTTTCTGATAAGTCATTTCCTTCCTATATCACAGACAAAAATTGAAGTAATGAAAAGAAATGCTTCCTAAGTTTCCACCAGCAAGTCTCCATATTTGTGTCAGATTTTCCCCTGTTGCTCTGAAGGATTAACTCGTTGCTCCTAGATGAGGTTCCTCCTTCCATTTCTGTACTAGATCCTTTCCCTCCAACTTAACTCACTGTCTGACATCAGCTCTGCTCCTCTCACATTTCCTTCTCTTCTCAGGTCAACCATCATCCAGTTGGTCTGAAGGTAGAAACAGCTTCCTGTTCCATACAGTAAATGCCACCTTGATTATAAGGCTTTATGGGATTCATCATCAATACTTTTGTGACATTAACTACTTCTCTTCCACTATACTCCAGCCACACTGGCCCCTTTCCTGACCCTTGATCATGGCACAACACAGTGCTACGTCCGGGTCTTTGACTTCGGTCCATCTTCCTCCATGACTTAGCCCTCACACTTCTTGTGTTCTTTGATCACAGGTTACTCTTAAGAATTCCTATACTCTGCATAGAACTTGCACTGCTACCATTATTCATCATCTCCCTTGCCAGCTTGTTTTTCCTATACCATTTGTCTTCATTTGAAACATTTGTTCCATGTATTTATATAATTATAGACTATGTTCAAATACTCCACTAGAATCAAAGTTCTACAAGGCCAGTGATTTTTAAATTGAAATTTATACTTATGAGTTACAGTGAGATAATTTGATACATGTACACAATGTACAGTGTTCACATCAGAGTAATATTCCATGTCTTGGTAATCTTCAAACTCTTATCAGGATATTTTGAAATATAAGTTGTCATAGGCAATATTATGCTATTCTGCTGTAGACCATTAGAACTAACTTTTCCTGTCTAACTGTATTCAGATGCCTGTTCAACAAATTCTATATCCCTTTTCACCCTATCCTTCCTAGACTATAGTGACCACTATTCTAATATCTTTATGTGATCAATGTTTTTAGTTTCCACAAATGAGGACTTGTAGTAGTTGCCTTACTAATTTTTTAGTTGCCTTACTAATTGCCTTACTAATTTCACTTAACATAATGTCCTCCAGTTCCATACATTTTTCAATCAGATTGCATCCTTTTACATGGCTGAATATTCTACTGTGTATCAAATTTAAAAATGCATTCATCTATTGGACATCTCAGATGACTACTATGAACAGTACTGTACAAACGTGTGCTGATATCTGATATAATTATTTCATTTCCTTTGAATATAAACCCAGTAGTGGGACTGCTAGATCATGTGGTGGTTCTATCTTTAGACTTTTGAGAACTTCCATATTATTTTCCGTAATGGCCATACTGATTACATTCCCACCAACAGTATGAGATTTTACATTTGTCTATGTCCTTAGAGGACAGAAGTTTCAGTAACAGAATTGTGTATGTGTGTGGTTTTGTGTTACTACTGCTGTATCCCAAGAATATAGAACAAAACCTAGTACATACAAAGTCTCACTAAATATTTTCTTAATGATTTGAGTGTAAGCAAGATGTAGCAGTATTGCAAAGATCTTGGGAAGGTGTGGGGAGCAATTCGGACTGGACTGAGTTACTGGAATTAAGACTTATTCTATGCATCTGCTCTCCCACAATATGGCGCTGGGAGAGAAGTAAACAGCTTCTGCACAGCTGCCTCCAGTTCAACCAATAAACTGTAGGACTTGCTACTGATTGGAGGAGAGCAGCGTACTCGGCGTGTGGGCAGCCGAGTTGGGATTGGCAGAGGAGGACTATAAAGGAGGAGAGAGACGGCATGCACCAGGAACATCTAAGGGGAACATCTAGCTGAAGGAACACCTGTGCAGCCCCCGAGAAAGCCGGCCGGCGGTGTGCCGCTCCCCTGCGGAAGTGGGGAATGTGGCCAGGGGGAACTGCCCTTCCACGGAGGTGGAAGGGATAGTAGCCAACCCGGGAAGAACCAGCAGCAAACCCGGGGAGGGCCGAGCAGACAAAAGAACAGCGCAGGGTCCTGTGTCGTTCCTCCACGAAGACGGGGAGCGACAGGAAGGGACATTCTAGGCAGAAGAAATAGCTCATGAAAGACCCCCATAAAGGGGAAAAGCTTGGTTTGTTTGCAGAAACCAAGAAAAGTCATTGTGGTTATAGCTTGGGGAGCTGAGGGGAGTGGTCCAAGAAGATTCTTGCTAAGGAAGAAGACATTAGAAAGCTGACAACCACCTTTCCCAGTCTGAGTGCTCCCTCCATATCTTTTTCTCCCTCTGCTTGATAGGTAAATCAATAACCAATACCTGGAGACTGTGTTTCAATTGCAATTCTTTTGCAACACTGTACATTCTATACATAGTAGCTCTTGAAGAGTCTACTCAGGCCCTCAACATGACTTTGGCCCATGAGAACCATTCTCTTCTTGGTCCTGGTGGGTCTGCCAACATTCATGTGTGTAAGCACTCCTCAGAGATAGAGGACAGTTCATTACTTAAAGCAACAGTATCACAGAGAAAAGTCCATTTTTATTTTGGTTTCCTTAGGTTGCCCTTCAAGAGAGGAACCTAAGTTTGGTAACAGGCAGTTAGCATGTATGCTGAAGACTCCATAGGGGAACATTACCTTTCTTGCACCAGACAGGAAACATCCCTGTCCTTTGCCACAGACACACAAAATCTGTATCTCCTATGGCTGTTTTCTAGACATTCTTTAACAGGGAATCCAGAACAAAGGGAAGTCAGTGCCCTACTCATAAGACATACAGAGTTGAGAGCCTTACTCCTGAAGAATTTTCCATGCCTATGCCACTGTAAGAGCCTCACTGAGTAATGGACACTGGGCTACATCTTTTCAACTTGTCTTATATAGCATTTAATTGGGGCTATTAGCAACAGGACTTCACACAGACACCTCAATCAATACCTTCTGCGATCCCAGTCCTAACCAGCCAAACAAATCCCATAAGCTATCAGTTTCTGTATTGACCATTTCACTTAGTCTATGGTATTGGTCTCAGTACAGCAGGATCTATTAGCATGAGTATCCACTCTGCCCTGCCCTGAAACTCCGTCATCCCACACAACCCTGGTCAGTTAGCTGAATCTGATCTGATTGTTCTCCAGGGCCAAGCTGGCATCACTGGTCACTTCAGCCAAAGTCAGGAGCCAGGTCTGCAGTACCATCTCCAATTAGTTGACTCCCCATGTGCAGATAACTGCCTGCAGGTTATACAAAAAATATTCCAACAGTTACTCCTCTGGGAAACTCTGATTAATCAAGGATGACCTCATGTTTGGAAATCTCTGTGGTCATCTGGGAATTCTGTTAAGACTATTCCTAACATATGAGTCACAATGTTTCAGGAAGAAGTTAAGAAAAACTTACCTTCACATAGTTCCTGGCAGGGACTTGGTACCCTTGGAAAGAAAGTCTTTTTGTCAGAAAGCCCCAAGCGAAGCACACATCAGTTTTTGTACCTGTGTTTCCAGCATCTCCAGTGGGGCCTCCCAGCTGGCTGGTGAGCACTCATATTTCCAGTTCAGTTTGAATAATTTAGTTGATCCTCGTTTTGGGTGACTTGCATGAGGTCAGTCAGTTCATCATGTTCTTTATGGTCCTGGCACTAGCTGTATTTTTCAACAGAATGCCAAGAGTCCTGCAACAATAGCTATGTTGTAGGAATTCACCTACAAAGGAGGAATGGTGAAGTGTGATTGGCACTGAGGGGGTTCAGTAGTTTAGAGCAGCCTAAAATCCTGGTTTTTTTTTTTTTTTTGAAACAAAATGTATTCGTTTAGATGCAATTTTGCCTGGTGAAATAAGACATCTCCCCCCCAATCATATTTTCCCAATTTGTGATAATATACAAAGTACAAAAAGTGTTGTGATTTTTGATGTTTGATAGTTTTTATATCCCTTGTTTATACTTCTGAGGAAAAGTGGTTTTTCTACTTACTACTTGAATTCTTCACTAAGTGGAGCGTTAAGCTTGTGATTATAAAGCAAACTCAAAGATGGTCATAAAAATTAAAATAAGGAAGGAGGAGGGATTGCTAGAGCAAGGGAGATAGGGAGGATTGTGTGGAAGTGTTACTGATTTGCTTATTAATAATCCAAAATATTAATAAGCTGTGTGGGAGAAGAAATCTGAATGCTGGCACAAATAAACCAGGCGACATGATAAGTTTTAAGCTGTTTATGTAGTGAGAGACATGCATAGGAGAGATTAAGTTGGAATCATACCAAGCTGAAAGCAGGTCAAAAGCCTCCTGCATCAGGTGTCTGGTTTTGATCAACTATTAACAGCTTATCACGGGCAGCAAAGCCTCAAAGGCGCGCGGGGCAACAAGGGTTTGTAGTGGTGAAAAAGGCAAAAAAGGGCTGGGCTCACCACTTTTCAGGCCTTAAACCTCTTCCAAAGGGGAGTGGTTTATTAGCCTGATTGGCAGGTGGGCACACAGGTGTGGTTAGGTAGGGGGATAAGATCACATTGGAGGCATGGTTAAAGTGTGGTCATCCAGCTCACAAACCTAGTCAATTTTATCCTATATGCCTGCTTACATCAGATGTATCATTATGCTGTTCAAAATATATACAACGCACCTGAAATTTGTCCCCCTTATATAAACATTGAAAAAAAATCAAACGAAAAATAGCAGGAACGGATCGGGGTAACACCCCAAGCAATGTGGCCTCCCTCCTTTTGAGGCACGTAGTTCAGCCTCTGTCTTGAGTGGTTGCCTCTGCATCAGAAATATGCAGTCTGCTGCTCTGTACCCGCTCCACGCTGGAGGATGCGGTACCATGCTTGACACAGGCAGCAAGGGTGACAATCTGTGCAGTGCAGGCTCAATAAGCTGCTTAATTCCAGCTGGTCTCACCAGAGAACAGGCTATTACATGCTTTACATGAGTGATTCAGACGTGTTGATTAGCAGCTGTGAATTATTTCCCCAGTTTTGCTATCTTTAATTTACCAGTGTGTAGTTTCCCAAGTGGCATACCAAACAGGCTATAGGAAATAGCCCAAGAGTCAGTAAAAATATAGTAAGCGTCACCAAGGATTCTGCTCGCCCGTATGATGAGAATGGTTTTGAGTTTTGCACACCGACAGCAATTAAGCGCACTCATTTTCTGCATAGCTGCCACATAGCCCCGGCAGCCCAGCTGATATGGTTTCAAGGACGTGTTGCACCTTTCCCCTACTCCCTCCCCCACCCCTCCACCTGTGACATTTCCTCCAGTTTCTTGAGATCCTTGGTGCCAACCAGACCCTTCTGGACTCCTTGCAATGCAAATGGCAAAGCAGATAAGCTGCTCAGGGCATCCTGTGAAACAGGTAAGAGGGAAGTTGCCTGAGGCTTCAAAGAGCCCCCCTGTTCTGCCAGCTGCTGTCTACCCCAACCCACACCCCCAAAGTGGCAAATTTGCTCCTTAACTGGATAAAAACCCGAGTTCTAAATGCGCAGTCTCTTTGCAAGAACAGTGTGTCATCAACTTCTTTGCTTCAAACAAAATGTGTTTTAATTTCTCAGAGAATATCTAATGGTTTTTACACAAACAATTTTATAAACTATTCCCTTTCCTCCATATTTTGCAATCAAGTAGTGAGATAATTAGTCACCTAAAGTGGGTAACAGGTTGTGGGGTGCCCAGGTGGAGAATATCTCAGTTGCATGGGCAGCTTCCAGTGGAGGCTATGAATTTGGGCTCAAACTTTTTAAGGGATGATTTGTGAAAAATCTGACATAAAGGACAAGAGTGACCAAGAGAGGTACCTTCTGTAACCAATCCCAGAAGAGACCATTGTGTTAGGTTTCTTTTTGGCATCGAGGTGTAAAGACAACAGTTTTTCCTTGACCATCAGAAGGACTGAACCTTGGGAATCCACTCACATAGCTCCAAAAATCTTTCCTTGGTAGGGAATTCTATTTTTTTCATGGTTTTTATCAGTCACTCCTGATGGAGGAATTGCAGTGGAACCACAGGGTCACTAAGGATCTATGTTCTCACTTAACATCATGGATACAGAGAATACTTTTGGAAGCAACTGTGCCAAACCCTGACCTACTACACACTAGTACTAAATGACAGGAAAATTTAGGCAACCCCAGGTGAGTTAGACAATCCTATATGGGAGACTTCACCGTGCCAATGGGAAGTGATCTGGATCCTTTGGTGCCAACACAAATGCCTAAATATGCATAGGTGATATGTAAAGGAACACATCAAGTGTTCTGGATTTAATGATTCAATTAATCCTACAGTGTCTGCAACCTTTCATGCAAGGGGAGCAGCAGCTGAATCCAATTGTTGTGTTCACTGTGAACTTTGTTTATGAACGCCTGTTTTTTTTTTTTTAATCATCTCTATAATGCTAGGAGTTGTCACATCTCTTACTACACTTCTTCCCTTCAAATGCTTCATCAAGACCAGCTTTCCTTCCTCTAAGATGCTACTATTTCTGTTAGGCTTCCCGGTAGGGAGGGGGTTGTATGGATAGGAGATTGTGAGAACTTCTCTTCCAATGACTCCTAGACAAGAGAATTGCTTCTGGCACTATGGGACGAACCATTATATAATACGCGAATGCCTACTATACATTCAGAAGTAGAAGCATGAGACAAAACAGAATATGCTGGCAAGATCACATAGCTTCCATTCCCCACCATGAACCCTTTCCAAATCGCATTAATTGAATCCAGACCATTTTTCTTTGCTCATATCCAAAAATCTCTAGAAGTGGGTGTTCCTTTCCTTTCAAAATTCCAAAATAAACTCTGGTGGTTGAGATGTAGGCTTTGATTCCTCCTTAGGGATGGGAAAACCTCAACCTCACCTTTAATTTTCTTTCATCTGAAAGGAGGGGAGGTATAAAGTGGGAGAAAAGACGGAGGGAGGAAAGGAGAGAGGGTCTGTGCTACCAAACAATGCTTCTTGCTTACTTCCCATCTTGAGTAGCAGCAGCTTCAGTTCAACCAAATGAACTTCTGGTATTTTCATCCTGCCCAGTACTCTATATAGGGTGTTCAAGTCCCCTAACTTATCCATGTAAACCCCATAGCTCAGCAGCACAGACACACAGCCTCATAGCAGGGACTACTCATACTTTCTGGCCAAATCTTGGTTAATTGCTACAGGGGCACCTTTTAAAGGAGCTCACTTCAATGTGGGACACCTGTGACCCTATGGTCATGGTAGAGTCCCTGAAGCTTTTGCCTTATTCCAACATAAAGGTTAGCACAATTTTCCACTGTGATGAGGCTGACCACAAGAAATTATGTACATATTTCTGGGTCACCTTCTCATTCTTCAGTGAGTCCCCTTTATCAGCACTATAAATCCAATCAGGGGCAGTAGGAGCACTAGTTAGTATGGCTTCTGTGGTTTCCCCAGGAGTTTCACTGTCTCAGAGAAATCTTCCAGAGAGGGCTAATTCACCTTTAGCAGAACCAGGATCCATTGAACACAGCTTCACCTCTGTACCCTTGCACTTGTCTTGCAGTTTATTTACGGTTAGTATGACAGACTTCGGAGAGACTGGGCCAGCCATAAGATGGCTCAGCTGTTGCCAGTCTTAGCGTTCCACTCCCTGCTCCCCTCACCACCAGGGGAACCAGCTGAATTTCTAACAGCCTAGGTTTGCTAATAGTGGTCCTAAACTTCCCTCTGTACACACTCACCATACATATACTTCTGTGACTATTGTGTGAAAGAGGTAGGAAATGTGCTAATCTAGGATGAATCTCAATATTAGTTGTTACAATCTAGTGGGCCTGAGCTTGCCACCAGATTCCCAAGAAAGTTACTCTAGCTGGAGAAGAGTTAACTACAATGATATTCCATTTGTAGAAGCTTTTGCCCCTGCTTCCTGGTACATCCTCTTTCAACCTCAGTTTCTCCTCATCAGTGGATAATGGTGAAGGACCATTTGCCATTAATCATACAGTTTGGTCAACACGTTCACTACAAGGTCCTGTGGACTTCCCTTAGTTACTGCTCTTCAGCCCATAGTGTCCTCATTCCTCGTCTTCTAGAAAGGCATTTTTTTGTTAACATCCAACCTCTACCTCCAGAATTGTCAAGGATTATGTAGGCTCTTATATCTTACCCGACTTGTGACCTAATAAATTACTTTGTCCCAGTCGCATGGATGCTGATAAATGTTATGAGACCCCAGACCAAAGATGAAAGAAAAATTATTTTCTACAGTAGTAGCCAAAATCTCTGTATTTTGTGCCAGTTTCTTGAGCTCCAGGACCCAAAGGGCATCACAGAGGGCACCAGGTGACACCTGCACACGGAGTGGATTGTGGTGCAGGAGAGAACCCAAGAGCTTTGGGATTTAAGTGGAAAATATATGTGCTCAAGGGAGCATGTTCCTCTGTCTTGCTAGGCAGTAAGCAAGTTGCCCTGTACTGCCAAGGAAAAACCACCTCTGTATCCAAGGCTACTTCTGGAATAGATACCCCAGTATGAAGGGGAATGAGTGCCTTGGTTACTGACAACAACAAGATTCATAGCAAATTTGCTCTTTGTAGCTTTCCTCTTGGAAACACCACTTCGAAACTGCATAGAGAGTGTTTTCCCTTTGAAAGCATATTCTGCTTATGATGGACTAATG